GTGTATTCCGCTCATTGTTATGTATTGTATATTTCTGTATTGTATAACCAACTAAAGAAGTTTGGACACAACATATTCTTCATCTTAATCTGTAGTGATGGTGGGGAAGCCCAGTGGTTAAAGCGTTCGCTCACCTCACTCTCTCTCACTCACTCATTCACTCACTCACTCTTAATCTGTAATGGTGGTGGGGAAGCCCAGTGGTTAAAGCGTTCGCTCACCTCTCTCTCACTCACTCACTCACTCACTCACTCACTCACTCACTCACTCACTCTCTTAATCTGTAGTGATGGTGGGGAAGCCCTGTTGTTTAAGCGTTGCTCACCTTACTCACTCTGACTCACTCACTCACTCACTCACTCACTCACCCACCCACCCACCCACCCACTCACTCACTCACTCACTCACTCACTCTTAATCTGTAGTGATGGTGGGGAAGCCCAGTGGTTAAAGCGTTGCTTGCCTCACTCACCCACTCACTCACTCTTAATCTGTAGTGATGGTGGGGAAGCCCAGTGGTTAAACCCTTGCTCACCTCACTCACTCACTCATTCACTCACTCACTCTTAATCTGTAGTTTCTCCTGTCTACAGGTACATGTTGACAGTATATGTATGTGTCTTTTGTTTTAAAATTGTATACTGTAAACGTACTTATTTTCGCGTGGTGCAATTTTCGCGGAATTGACAGTTTAGACTACTTCGGGCGGTCAATTATTCGCGCAATCAGTAATTGCCGGAACTGCCAGCTGTCTCTTTGGCCGCCACTAATAGCAGTGAAAGCAAACAGAGTGGCTGAACCTGTCAGGCGGCGTTTATTGCTTACTCACAGGAAATCCCTATCTGTGCGATATACTAGTACACAGTAATCCGTTTACTCCCGGAAGAGATGAAAAACACATCAGTCTTATGTTCCGAATTCTGACGATTTGACAAATTAACTTATACTGTATATATGAAGCTCTTTGTGATTTCAAACAAGCGGGTTGTTGTGAATGAGATGATTGAGTGTTAGTGACTATTAAGCTTCATGATGTACTGGTGAATAAAATCTTAATGAATAAATAAAATACTGCTGTATTATTTCTTTCCGAGTCGTTTTCGCGGTAATCTGTTTTGTATCAAACCATGTCATGTGACCAATTTCCATGGTGGCCACAACACACATTGCTGTTTTTAAGCTAATTTGGCAATGGGATTTGGCTCATTATTTAATTATGTTTTGGAAATCCATTACAGCGACAGTTAAGTATGATCAGTCGTCATTTTAAGATTCCCGTTGATTTCTGTCTTCAAACGTGATGTGTTATGGTAACAACTCAGAGGCGGCGTGGCTAGACTGAATGAATGACAGGTTTATTAGCGGTGTATAAATTTTGGCTAAAATGTTTTAGCTTGGCGAAAAATAAAACCTCTTGCGCGAAATATAATACGTTTACAGTATGTGGAAAATATTTTTGTCTCAAATCATAATAAGTTGGGTTTATAAAAACGTAAAATGAAATTTATCTCCAATGACTCTATAATAACAACATTTTAAAAATTCTAACAATAACCTCTCTTCTACTAATATTTTTCATTATATGTGTTTCACCTATTGTTTACAGTGTAAACATGTTCTAAGATCCTTTGAGTTTTAATGTACTATCAATAAATACGTTTTTCATGGAGAACTTAGAAGTAAATACTGAATGGATAAAATGAATTATCCCAAGCCCTGCAGGACAAATGTAATTAACATTTAACAAATCAATTAATTGTATCCTAGGTTTCTGGCACTACTTACAATAATTCTTTATTAAATTCACGTACTCACAACAGGAAAAGCTGAAAGTCACTAAAACTGATTGTAAACCAACACCTTTCATTGACGTTTGTGACGGTTAAACTAGATTTATTAATTGACCAATTGGAGTTCATTCTCTTGTCATGTGATCAGAATGTGTCATCTCATCTGTGTCTACATGGGAATCGTATTGATTTGTGTAACAGAGAGGTGGCAATCTAATCCAGTTACCTGCTCGTTACAGACGGAAAATTGAAGGTTGTGTGGCGGCTGTCGGATTAACAGTCCAGGGATCCAAGCTGCCCAAAGATGCTATGCAGATTTATGTCCCTTTGTCATGTTAGGATCCTCTGGTTATGGGTATGCAAGCTTAATTCAAGCCCACATTGATTCAGTATCAAACTGATGATTCTAGGTTGTCTGCACCCTAACAGTGCCGGGAATTTTCCAGAATGAAAAACATATAAACCTACATTAATTTTGTTTTACTCTCCAATTAAGCATGTTACTCCTCAAAGCTGTGTTAATCCGAGGTCACTTATATTTTTGGATTATAGTCAGATGTGAGTTAACAGTGCTTTGAAAAATATTTGTCACTTTGTACAACCATAACCTTTGTACAATTTATAGCCTTGAATTTGAGTCAGAATAGATTTTAGTTTAAATCTACCATGAAAGACCTTGATTTTGAATCTGAATCTGCCTTGAAAAGGCTTTGTGTTTGAATATGTCCTGAAAGGCTTAACTTTTAAATCTGCCTTTAAGAGGCCTTGATTTTAAATTTGCCCTGAATGACCATGTAATTGTATCTGCCTTAAAAGGCCTTGAGTTTGAAATCTGTCTTAGAAAGTTTTTGAATTTTGACAACTTAGTATCATGTTTAGCCTCGAGAGAAATATATCACAATTAATTTTTGGTTTAATACATTATGTCATTACATGGGAAGAAAAATAATCCATAAATAATATGTAATGCTGAAACAATGGTGTGTGGACTAGTATTTTATAAACATATCTGGCTGTACAGATAGTGCCATCCTGACAACAAAGTAGAGAATATTCTAAGAAATCGGTTTCTAAGCACACTTGGATGAAACCTCGAGAAATCTTCAAAAGGCTCAGTTTTTGTATTGTCTTGCACCAGTTTTCATCACATCTGATATATCAGGGCCAGTGTCTGTGTTTCTAAGTACCCTATGTTTAGCATTAGACAGGTGCCCTTGAGCATGGCGCTCCACAGCATCCGCTCAGCATGATCATACATGCTTGATAGTTGATGAACAGGAGTGGCAAATTCTATTACCACAAATTTTTCATGGTATCACAGACCAAGTGCCTTTGGCAGGCAGCTTGGGAAAATGCTATTCCCAAGTATTTTTTTCCACAACATTCAGGGAAATATTAACTATAATGTCAAATTAGTCATTAGCTGCAAATAAACCTGGTATGAGTGAAATACAGGTCATCTGTGTCAGTCATCACATCAGTGTCATTATCTCAGCATTACTTGGGAAATATTTAATTCCTCTTTGGGAATTTTGACTAACAGTTACATAAAAATATACACACACACCCATCCACTTACCTAACAAACGATCATAGATTCCAATCACCCCATCCACCTATTTACCAAGTAACCCCCAACCCACACACCCCACCGACCCACTTACCTCACCCATCACCTCACCTAGTAACCCCCAACCCACACACCCCACCGACCCACTTACCTCTCCCATCACCTCACCTATCACCTCACCTAGTAACCCCCAACCCACACACCCCACCCACTCCACCTACCTCACCCATCCCTCACCTAGTAACCCCAACCCACACACCCCCACCCACCCTTACCTCACCCATCCCTCACCTAGTAACCCCCAACCCACACGCCCCACTTACCTCACCCATCCCTCACCTAGTAAGTAACCCCCACACACACCCCACCGACCCACCTACCTCACCCATCCCTCACCTAGTAACCCCCAACCCACACACACCCCACCGACCCACTTACCTCACCAATCCCTCACATAGTAACCCCCAACCCACACACCTCCCCGACCCACTTTTCCCTACCCATCCCTCACCTAGTAACCCCCAACCCACACACCCCACCGACCCACTTGCCTCACCCATCCCTAACCTAGTAACCCCCAACCCCACACACCCCACCGACCCACTTTCCCTACCCATCACCTCACCTAGTAACCCCCAACCCACACCCCACCAACCCACTTACCTCACCCGTCCCTCACCTAGTAACCCCCAACCCACACACCCCACCGACCCACTTTCCCCTACCCATCACCTCACCTAGTAACCCCCAACCCACACACCCCACCAACCCACTTACCTCACCCATCCCTCACCTAGTAACCCCCAACCCACACACCCCACCGATCCACTTTCCCTACCCATCCCCTCACCTAGTAACCCCCAACCCACACACCCCACCGATCCACTTTCCCTACCCATCACCTCACCTAGTAACCCCCAACCCACACACCCCACCGACCCACTTTCCCTACCCATCACCTCACCTAGTAACCAATAAATAAATTAGTGTTGTGTTTTTGTTACGATAATTACAAGGGCAGCAAAACCAACATTTCTCTACTAATATTTTCCCCTTTGAATATCATTTTTAAAAACATGTTGTTTCTTTGGGGGATATAAAATACACAGTTTAATAAGGAGCAATCAATCAATTATTTGTACATCTTCGTCTTACTAATAGCCTGGAGCTGCTTTCCTGACAACTAATTTTGTTTTCCAACCAACTATTCAATACTATTTTCCCGATAACATAATGTCAATAATGATACATTGATAGAAAGCATGGGGCTGGAATGGATCATTGTCCCATTACTTCCTGCCTAACTCTACATGTCAATGTGATGGTTATCTAACTCGGCATGTTTCACGACCATAATCAGTCCTATTGTTAGAGCTGTATGCTTCTGTACTTGTGAGTCTCTGACTTGACCGCAAGCAGACTAATTATGCAAATAACAACATGCCTCTTATTGACATTATGCAAAATAATAAATGCACTTTACAGACAACATGTAGTCCTGAGATTAGGACCATAGTTAAGACTTGATGCAGCGTGTGCAGGCTGTTGTCCAATTGTGTGATGCTATCCTAGAATTGGAAATTCTGACTGTTGCCTAGTTATTGATTTTTTGCATAATTGAAGAATCTGATGGTATGGCAGTATCGTAAATATCAACGCCGCCATTCAGTGTACGTTTGCATGTCACATGCTTAGACAGGCATCAGGGCGTGCTCTCTAATTTGGCAAGGTGCATTCAGATCCATGCACCCTCTATACAAGAAGGATCGTCTTGCTGACTGACTTAATTGTGGTCTGCATTGGAGCTTGGAAATATCAAGTCTGTTCTTCTGCTTCGCACATCCCGGGAGCTTGAGTGTCTCCCCCGAACACTGGACACAGACTTCTGGGAAGTCACGGTCACCAGACAATTATTTTAACGTGCACTGGACTAGGAGATCACTACCAGCATGGATATTCCGGTAATTCTTTGTTGTCCTAGAAATATGACATATTTATGGCCTGCCTTTTGTTTGGTATGGATCGGTGTGGTTTTCTTTGGTCCATTTGTGGTAAACAAAGGGCTTCTGGTGACAGTGTTGTGGTGGTTGCGTTACAGTTGGTGGTGGAGGAGATGCTGCAGCCGCTCGCTGGCACGTGCAACAGTGTTGATGGTGATACCAGTGTTGATGGTGTTGTTGAGGATACTAACGTAGTGTATTCAGTTTATGTGTTTTGTCCATTAATTTCATTACATATCCAATAAGGTCTCTGATGTTTTAGAAATAGTTAAGTTGGGAATGTTGTATAATGTCAAATCAGCCATTAGATTGGGCTTTCTGCTCGAAAAATACATGAATCTAATATTATGAGTTGTCATCATCATCATCATCATCATCATCATCATCATCATCATCATCATCATCATCATCATCATCATTTATTGCTCTTCCAAGCTGCGAGATTACAATGATATAATTATGTGATTGTATAGTTATGTAAGGGATAGGTTGTGACTTATATAATTGGCACAGATAATAAATAAATGGCTAAATTATCTGTTTCTAGGAGTATGTTGTGTCCTGTTTTTGTGTCGGCCTACAAGAGAGTCTATAAGTTCAGATATTTCTCACACAGAAATTAGACATGCAGAGATGAAGACACGAATCTAAAAGTATCAATTTCTTAAAGATCTGTTTGGTAAGGGAAGGAAATGTTTCAATAAATTAAGGTAATCTGACACGAGACTGGTCCATTGTAATTGAGGTCAGAGGAGGTGGTTGCTTCTTTGTTGTTTAAAGCTGCACTATATAGTCAAACCTGAGGCTGCATGACTGTGAATTATCATACCTTAATAGTGTGAATTGTTGCTACGTAGCAGTCATTGATCTCTCTAGTCCAGACATTACAGGCAATATTACAGGCTCTTGTAGCTGATTGTTACATTAAACTACAAACCATTCAAGTTTCCTCATTGCCTGTAAATATTTGAGTCTTGGCCAGGAACACCTGGCCATGTGCTTGTAGCATGATTTATGTCTCACACACTTGTGTTACAATGGATTTATTTAGACCTCCTCGGAGACTGATATTCAGACCCAAGTCTGCAGTTGATGTCTGGTATTTTCCAAAGTAGAATTAAATATTTCCCTGTTGATGGTGACTGTAATAATCAAATGTAACTGCTGAGTTGAGGTGACTTGTGTTTCTCTGATAACATGACCAGCGTGGAAGAGTGAGTGAGTTAAGTTTTATGCCACTTTTAACAATATTCCAGCAATATCACGGCGGGGAACACTAGAAATGCAGTGTGGAAGAAGAGGCTTTAACATGTTTAATGCCAAGTTATGCAATATTGCATTGAATGTACTTTTAAGATTCAAATTACCTCTTAATTTATTGAAATAGTTCTGTAATTTTGAATAATGATAGTTTTACGATAAATCCCTGTATTATGACCTATAATCAAGTCAATTACAACCAAGCCACTCATTTCCTATGATAGTTTTCTTCGTTAATGTATTCCCCATTTGATCATTTGGTGACTTTTCCAAAATCTTGTTTAATTTTATCATGAACCACAAAGATGCCAAATTTGTAAATATGTTATACATCAAAATCAAACAAAAGTCTTCCTTTCCAAGGGAGCAATGGGGTAGCCTAGTGGTTAAAGCGTAAACTCAACTCACCTAAATCTTCACTCACTCAATCACTCACTCACTCACTCAATTTCAAATGCATATGTATCCCATGCATATTTCACTAATAGTCACTATGTGGCTAAAATAGAATTGATACAACATTAAATTCAACCCACTTCAATTTTTTTATTGGGCTTTTCACATAATACTATTAGCCACACAGAATATTATTATTGTCCTTGAATATTAAACTCCCTTGAAAAAGAAAGAGCCAAAATGTTTATATCCCTTTCTAGGCATTTTGTTTGTGAAACTGTTGAGGTGGGAATTCTTTCGTGAGTAGTAACTTTTTATTTAAGATTGTCTTGACATTGAGAAGGCATGGAGTGGATCCAATCAGGTTAATTCACTCGTAACTTGCTGATATTGCTGGACTTAGAATAGGGGCCTATGTGAGAAGAGTGGAGTCTCAGGTGGTTTCTGGTTTTGGCAAGTGCCCTTAGCAATATTGTCTGTGGACCATTGCATATGGTAATTGATATTCTAGATGCTATTGATTTGGTTCCTGTCACTGTGCAATGTGGACAACCAGTAAATAATAATTTGACTGATTGTATCGTGCCACTCACGTCACTTCTGATAGAACAAAGGAAAATTTACAGAATGTGGGTTTCATTGTTCAGTTCAAGTATTGAAACTTTGGAGATATGTTGGCTAATCCTGCAACTATGTACGGAGCAAAGAGTAAATGACTTTAGTTTTAAGACATTTTAGCAATATACCAAATCACAAGGGAAGGGAATGTAAAATTTGGATTCACAAATTGTACCCATATTTGTAATCAAACACAGACTTCTGTCATGACAGGTAAATGCTTCAATCAATGGGCTACCCTGAAGTGACATGCTGACAAATGACGATTTACAGTATCACTATTCAAAACAGCTTTAAGTCAAACTTACAATGCTCACTCAATCAGTTAGACTCAAATGATTAGATACAATGTGGAATTTGTTCTATGATCCACCTTTAGCCTTTAAACAATAAAATGCAGAATCGACAGAATACTGTAAACGTAGTATATTTCGCGCAGGTTTTATTTTCGAGCTTTTCATGCAAAACATTTTAGCGCGAAAATTTATACACCGCGAATAAACCTGTCATTCATTCAGTCTAGCCATGCTCGCCCCTGAGATGTTACCATAACACATCAAGTTTGAAGACAGAAATCTACGGGAATCTTAAAATGACGACTGATAGTAGCATAAAGAATCAAACTTAACTGTCGCTGTAATGGATTTCCCAAAACATAATTAAATAATGAGCCAAATCCCATCGCCGAATTAGCGAAAACAGCAATGTGTGTTGTGGCCGCCATGGAAATTGGTTACATGACAGATGGTTTGATACAAAACAGATTACCACGAAACGACTCGGAAAGAAATAATACAGCAGTATTTTATTTATTCATTTAGATACAAACGTATCATCATGAAGCGAATAGTCACTAACACTCAATCATCTCATTCACAACAACCTGGCTTGTTTGAAATCACAAAGAGCTTCATATACAGTATAAGTTAATTAGTCAGATCGTCAGAATTCGGAACATAATACTGATGTGTTTTTCATCTCTTCCGGGAGTAAACGGGTTAATGTGTACTAGTATATCGCACAGATAGGGATTTCCTGTGAGTAAGTAATAAATGCCGCCTGACAGGTTCGGCCACTCTGTTTGTTTTCACTGCTATTAGTGGCGGCCAAAGAGACGGCTGTCAGTTCCGGCAATTACTGATTGCGCGAATAATTGACCGCGCGATGTAGTCTAAACTGTCAATTCCGCGAAAATTGCACCACGCGAAAATAAGTACGTTTACAGTAACTATTGTGAGATAATGAAGAATGAGATAAAAGACAGGTGTGATTGTCTGTCTGGAAACAGTAGGCTGAAATAGTTGCTGGTGGTCGATATTATAGTTAAATTGTGCAGAAACTGAAGAGATCTGCTGGTGAATAAAGTGATCTCTAATTTCGCTGAGTTATGAGCAACAGGACCATGTGGATTAAGATCATGTTCTTAGTTGGCAGCTGTTTGAAATTAGGTCAGTAGTCATTGAGCATGTTGTGTACAGGTGGACATAAAAAAAACAGTCACTGTTGTGGAACATTGTTGCACCAAGGCACTGGTTGCTATAGGACATTGTTGCACAAAGGCACTGGTTGCTATAGGACATTGTTGTCTATAGTGATTGATTGATATAGGACATTGTAGAACCATATCAAGATATACCAGAATGAGATCAGCTGCAGCATTGTAGAACTGATTGGTTGAAAATTGTAAACAGAATTGTTATGATTGTTGAACATTGTAAAACATGGATAGTTGTATAACTTTGTATCAGAACGAGATGAGATACAAAATTGTGGAACTGATTGTTGTTGAACATTGTAAAACATGGATAGTTGAGGAACTGTGTTATATAACTTTGTATCAGAACGAGATGAGATACAACATTGTGGAAGTGATTGTTGTTGAACATTGTAAAACATGGATAGTTGTATAACTTTGTATCAAAACGAAATGGGATACATTGTGGAAGTCATTGTTGAACATTGTAAAACATGGATAGTTGAGGAACTGTGTTATATAACTTTGTATCAGAACGAGATAAAATACAACATGGTGGAAGTGATTGTTGTTGAACATTGTAAAACATGGATAGTTGAGGAACTGTGTTATATAACTTTGTATCAGAACGAGATAAAATACAACATTGTGGAACTGATTGCTGTTGGACATTGTAAAACGTGGATAGTTGAGGAATTGTGTTATATAACTTTGTATCAGAACGAGATGAGATACAACATTGTGGAAGTGATTGTTGTTGAACATTGTAAAACATGGATAGTTGTATAACTTTGTATCAGAACGAAATGGGATACATTGTGGAAGTCATTGTTGTTGAACATTGTAAAACATGGATAGTTGAGGAACTGTGTTATATAACTTTGTATCAGAACGAGATAAAATACAACATTGTGGAAGTGATTGTTGTTGAACATTGTAAAACATGGATAGTTGAGGAACTGTGTTATATAACTTTGTATCAGAACGAGATGAGATACAACATTGTGGAACTGATTGCTGTTGGACATTGTAAAACATGGATAGTTGAGGAATTGTGTTATATAACTTTGTATCAGAACAAGATAAAATACAACATTGTGGAAGTGATTGTTGTTGAACATTGTAAAACATTGATAGTTGAGGAACTGTGTTATATAACTTTGTATCAGAACGAGATGAGATACAACATTGTGGAAGTGATTGTTGTTGAACA